CTCTGGACCCCAGGAGCCACCCTCTTGGTCGTGGTGGAGCTGAACTCTGGACCCCAGGAGTCACCCTCGTGGTCGTGGTGGAGCTGAGCTCTGGACCCCAGAAGTCACCCTCTTGATCATGGTGGAACTGAACTCTGGACCCCAGGAGCCACCCTCTTGGTCATGGTGGAGCTGAGCTCTGGACCCGAGGAGCCACCCTCTTGGTCGTGGTGGAGCTGAGCTCTGGACCTGCTCTGAGCATTGTAGTATCAGATTAAACATCAACCTTAAGACATGAAGAGTGACGTGGAAGAGCTGAACTGAAAATGAGTTTACTCTAGAATAATCTGCAGGTTGGGAATCATCCGCCCATTAGCTGGCAAACTGGAAAAAAACGGTGGATCTGTAGAGGGGCATGAGATTCAGTATTAGAGATTTTTTTCCTATACTTTTTTTTTTTTTTTCCAGATTTTGGCTGGGGCTGTGTTTGAACACACCACCTCCGGTATATGGGGCCAGCATCCTACTCCTTTGAGCGACAGTCAGCGCCCTTTCTCCTATGCTTTTGAAAGCTTGTTTTTTTGTTATAGATAAGATTTCTATGCATTTTGACCTCATGGAGAAAGCTTTTTTGAGGGAACTATGTGGGAAAATTTAATGAGTTCCAATATCATACATCATTTATAGATCTTCATTCACTTTTTTAGATATAAATTATCTTTCATTATCTTACTTATATTGTGCTTGGTGTATTTGTAAGTTTTTGTCTAATCTTTTAAAAGTTTTAATTTTTCCCTGGTTTTTTAAATATAAAATAGTGTGCATGAATATCGCCATGTGTCAAGTTTGTGCTCATGGGGACACTGCCCCGGTCACGTCACAGGTGTGTCTTGTTGTCCCCAGGACATCGGATGCTTTCTGCTGGAGGTCGCCACCAAAGATCCTTCCCTTATAGTAGCAGGAGAAGCTTTGGATGCCCTTTTTGATGTTTTTGCAGATGGTAAAGAAGCTGAAAGAGCTTCAGTTCAAATTAAATTATTATCTACTCTGAAAGAATTCCAGCCAGTCTTCAAAATGAAGGTTTGTAGCGGTTCTGTTTATACATTCGTAAGTCCGACAATCTGTGGGGATGAGGGTGTATGTAGTTACCACTGTGTGATTTAGAGGCCTGTGCACAGTGAATTCCCATGACTCCTGGTGACAAGGTGGCTCTTCATCCCCAGTACTTTGTGAAATGCTTGCTGGCTGAGTCATGGCCCAGCCATTGAATCACTGAAACTTGAAGCCAAGTGGCATCTGAGAAGTTTCTCTCTTTTTTAACTTTAGTAATGTTAACAGTGCTTCATATATACATGTGTCTACTCTAGCTTTCAAAAGACTTTCATACACATTGTAAACTTATTATATCATGTGGTAAACATTGGTTTCGTTATTATAGATATTTCTTTGGTATTCTGCAAAAGGCGAACTCCAGGCTATTCTAAATTAGAGAATACAGCTGCTGCTTTCATTAGCCATTATTTATTTATTGTTTTGTCAGAAACAAAAACTAACTCTGAGTCAAAAAATAATTTCAAAAAGTGTTTTGGGCCCGGGCATAGTGGCTCACACCTGTTATCATAGTCCTTTGGGAGGCTGAGGTGGGAGGATTGTTTGAGTCCAGGAATTAGAGAGAAGCCTGATGACACATGATTTGTTTTTTTGCAGATACGTAAAGAAGGGCGAGGTAAATACAGTACAGATCAGCTGTGTGTTCTTGACAATGTGAAGATGAATTTGAGGAGGTTTGTTGCTTATCAAGAAACTGTGGAGAAAAGGCTGACTTCTTGAACCAGCGAAAGAGAAATCAGTTCTTCCCTGACACGTTTGATGCTGAGAGTATGGACGGGCTTCCTTCGGCTGTAGACGTGTCTGAAAGTTATTTTTAACTGCTTCTGTTCTGCACCTTAGTTGAAGTTCCAAACTCTTCTAAGCCTTGGAAACTGTGCCGCATCTGCAGAGCTCCCAGTTACGTGCCCAGCGTGTTTTAATTCCTAGACGCATAAAGAGAGGGAGGGGGAAAGCAGCGGAGTCTCGGGGTTCCCAGCTTGATTCACGAGCGTCCAAAGAAACTTCAAAAAATCACGTTTTCCTGGAATTTTGCAAAAAAAAAAAAAAATAATAATAATCCACAGCATTACTTGCTTGTTCTTTTAAGGAAGTGGTGTTTTATACCAGCTGAATCTTTAACTGAAATATGAAGACAAGCTTTATAAAATAATTTTTGGTATGAATTATACCAATTATGTTTATCTTTTGTAAAGAAGTCAATGAGTTGAGTTTATATTTCACTACTTAATAGATTTATACTGATGAACCAAGAAGGTAACTGCCATCGTCCATGCAGGGTATTGTAATATCACTCCTTGATTTAATCTGGTACGGAGTCAGAATTAGGAGAAAATATTTTTGAATAAATAACTTTGTAATATAAAGCTTTATGTCTTACAGAATCTTTTACAGTACTAAGTAGATCTATTCCTGGATGTTTCCTTGATAATGAGTGTTGCTTTCAATGTATGTGAGATTTATTTTTTAAACAGGATTTCAGAGCATTGCCTCTCAACGTCCTTGAAGTAGCCGGGTGACAGCACATCCTGTTCCAGAGGGGGCCCTGGGCCAGCTCCTGCGTGCATCTGTTTACCTGATCAGAGAGTTCAGCGGAGACTCAAACATTTCTGCACAGCCGATGTCAGTGGCCCTGATAAAAGGCCCAGTACCCAGTGAAGCACTTACTTGTTTTATTCAGTATTTCTGCAGCTGCATTCATAACGTAGTAGGTTGTATTTCATCTGCAGGATGATGTATTGTGCAGTCTTTACCTATATATTATAGAGTCTTGGGAAACCAAGATTGGTTCTTATCCTTAAGAGTCCCTGAGCCAAGAGACCAGGTAAAATGACCAGATTTATTCATGGTGGGAAACTAGAAATGGTAGACCATAAATGAAATTTTACTGTGTGTGTGGTTAGTGATCATTTCAGCTGCACGACTGACACAAAGCAGTTGTTTTTTGAGAAAGATTCTTCTAATAAAAGTTTTAGAGTTCTCTTTGCCTCAAATATTTATAGGATATAATTATTTTCAAGGAGAAGGAAGTTTGCACGCCTGTTTTCTCCCTGCACTCTGGAGGAAAGTGTCAGCACTGCGCAGACTGTCAGGCCCAGGGCCTGGTGCACCATCAGCTCCTCATAATACCTGTTGGATGCAGAAATGTTAGTGGTTTTCTGTTTGGCAGTTGTCAGATTGCAGAATCATCCTATAGAACGGTAGAAGGTGAGTTATGGCATTGAAAATGTGCCATCGTAAGATATAGATATATATATATATATATTTTTTTTTTTTTTTAAATTTTTTGGACAGAGTCTCGCTGTGCTGCTCTGTTGCCCTGGCTAGAGTATAGTGGTGTCCCATGGAGCTTCAACCTCAGAACTCCTGGGCTCAGGCAATATTCCTGCCTCATGCTACTATGCTCTGCTAATTTTGTGTACAGATGAGTATCTATCTTTTTTTTTCTTTTCTCTTTTTTTTTTTCTTGAGACAGGGTCTGGTTCTGTGGCCCTGGCTAGAGTGCCATAGTGTCAGCCTAGCTCATAGCAACCTCAAACTCCTGGGCTCAAGAGATCCTCCTGCCTCAGCCTCCTGAGTAGTGGAGACTACATGCACCCACCAAAACACCCAGCTAGTTTTTTTTACTTTTAGTAGAGATACAGGTGTCATTCTTGCTCAGGCTAGTTCTTGAACTCCACTCAAACAGTCCTCCTGCCTCTGCCTTGCCCGATATCCTAAAAATGTTTTAGATTCTGAGGCACCAGTAGTTTGATCTATATTGCTACCGTTCATTTTATTTAACAACAGGGAAAAAGGGAAAACAAATTTTAAGTATACACTACAGTTGTGACTGTTTGTGTGGTAGCTCAGTAAGGTGTGTAGGTGTTCATGGCACAGTGTAGTAGGGACTGTCGTGGTTTCTTGCATAAGGGTAGGAAAGAACTCTCTGCTTTAAAATACGTTTATTTGAAAATCATCCATTATAGTCCATTAATAATATACACTATTTTAAGTGTTGGAATATGAACTCATATGAAATCTTTTGTTTTAGAAGATATCTTTTTATTTTATTTATTTATTTATTTATTTGAGACAATCTAACTGTGTCACCCTTGGTAGAGCATCCTGGCACCACAGCTCACAGCAACCTCAAATTCTTGGGCTTACGTGATTCTCTTGCCTCAGCCTCCCAAGTAGCTGGGACTACAGGTGTCCGCCACAATGCCAGGCTATTTTTTGCTGCAGTTGTCATTGTTAACTGGCCCAGGCTGGATTCGAACCTGCCAGCTCCACTGTATGTGGCTGGCGCCCTAGCCACTGAGCTACAGGCACCGAGCCTAGAAGATAATTTTTAAGTTTTTAACCAGCCATGGCATGTTCATCCAAGGAAATAAAAATCACTATTTTTCATCTCTTATTTTTGGCTTTAAAATAGAAATGCATTTTGCTTTATTTATTTTATTGCTTCATACCCTTCTGAGGAAACACATTTTAAAAGAGAATTGATTTTTTTTGGCTCAGTGGCTAGAGAGCCAGCCACGTATGTACACTGGAGCCGGCAGGTTCAAATCCAGCCTGGGCCTGCCAAACAACCATGACAATTGCAACCAAAAAATAGCTAGGTGTTGTGGCCGGTGCCTATAGTCCCAGCTACTTGGGAGGCTAAAGCAAGAGAATGGCTCACAAGAGTTTGAGGTTGCTGTGAGCTGTGACACCATAGCACTTTACCCAGAGCAACAGCTTAAGATACTGTCTCAAAAAAAAAAAAAAACAACAAAGAATTGATTTTAAGATATTGGCCAATTAGTTACATGTGTTTTTTGCAGTTTTGTCTTTTGCCTTTATATAGTATCTCAAAAAAATACTTTTGAGTTGTCAAGATAGGGAAAGATCCTTATCTCTATTCATGGTTCCTGCTTACTCAGTTCAGTAGTAGATTTAATGCCATTTTGAAATTGCATGGACTAATATTTGGTTGTATTTAACGTACATATAGAACGTGGTTCTCAACTTGTGGGTTGTGACCCCTTTGTGACAATGAAAATACATCCTACATATCAGATATTTACATTATGATTCATAATAGTAGAAAATTACAGTTATGAAGTAGCAATGAAAATAATTTTATGGTTGGGTGTCACCACAACATGAGGAACTGTATTAAAGGGTCGTGGCATTAGGAGGCATTAGGAAGGTTGAGAACCCCTGGTATAGAGCATGAGTAATTTAAAGCCTTCACTGTAGGACGGCACCTGTGGCTCAGTGAGTAAGGCACCGGCCCCATATACTGAGGGTGGCGGGTTTGAACCCAGCCCCAGCCAAACTGCAACAAAAAAATAGCCGGGCATTGTGGTGGGTGCCTATAGTCCCAGCTACCCGGGAGGCTGAGGCAAGAGAATTGCCTAAGCCCAAGAGTTGGAGGTTGCTGTGAGCTGTGACGCCACAGCTCTCTACCAAGGTTGACAAAGTGAGACTCTGTCTCTAAAAAAAAAAAAAACCTTCACTGTATCTAGTAATTCTATAGTATTTTGTTATATTATAGCTATACTATAGTATTTTGTTACACTGTAGCTATACTAGAGTATTTTGAAACATTCACTTTGGCCAGGCACAGTGGTTTACACCTGTAATCCCAGCACTCAGCGAGGCCAAGAGGGGAAGCATTGCTTGAGCTCAAGAGTTCGATACCAGCCAGAGCAAGAGTGAGACCCCTCCCACGTCTACAAAAGATAGAAAAATTAGCCAGGCATGTGGCAGGCACCTGCAGTCCTGCTACTTGGGAGGCTGAGTTGGGGGGTTCTCTTAAGCTCAGGAATTTGAGGCTGCAATGAGCTATGATCACTAAAATTACAGAGCAAGAGACCCTGCCTCAAAAGTAGATAAACAAGGCCAGGTGCGGTGGTTCACACCTGTAATCCCAGCACTTGGGAGGCCTGAGCTCACGGGTTTGAGACCAGTCTGAGCCAGAGCAAGACCTTGTCTCTAAAAATAGCCAGGCGTTGTGATTGGTGCCTGTAGTCCCAGCTACTAAGGAGGCTGAGGCAAGAGGATCACTTGAGCCCAAGAATTTGAGGTTACTGTGAGCTATGATGCCAGGGCACTATGCTGAGGATGAGAAAGTGAAACTCTGTCGGCTCGGCGCC